GGCATAAGGACAATACTGTTAACTACCTAGAACCTTAAAACCAAACGAGGACGAGGTACGGACGCGGTGCAAACACCGATAGAATAACCACTAAAGACAGCTACGGTGTTCGCTAAATGACACCGACGAAAACAAGATGACGAAGTCCTTGTGATCATTATAAAATATGGTGCTCCTCTTGTTACCGCCTGTTAATAACACGGCTCGTAAGGCGGTGCTAGCCGGACACTACAGGATCACCTAAAGGCTATCCACATTCAACAATCTCATGTTACGAAGCAACGCTGATCACTACATGGAACTGTTCTAAACAGAGCCATCAAGTCTACTTACAATCCCTGACGAAGTTGGATTAGAAACCACACAACTCAAAGTATCGCCCGATACCGACTCCTACACATACTAAACGTTGTCTGGAAGTAACGCACAGCAGTTCGCGACCGTCACTCATATGTAATGGTACATAATTACACGATTTAATATTCGCTCAAATTGGTAATGCAAATTAGAAGCGGTTCCAGTGTTAAAAATTCCTTGAGCAGTTCCTCAAGTTAGTCTTAGAAATATGTCATACTAATGTCGAAAGTCTAATGTAACAACGGTGCCGACTAAGCCCGTGTAAAAAGCATAAGGACCATACTGTTAAATACCTAGAACCTTAAAACCAAACGAGGACGAGGTACGGACGTGGTGCAAACACCGATAGAATAACCGCTAAAGACAGCTACGGTGTTCACTAAATGACACCGACGAAAACAAGATGACGAAGTCCTTGTGATCATTACAAAATATGGTGCTCGAAATAGGGTCATAATATTGAGCAACTGAATCTACATTAATAAAAGCACGCAAAATTTGCTGTTGGCCGCTCATGGGAAAAATGATAATAGAACTTGTCCAAAGTGAAATAGAATAACTGATAGGCGACAGCAACAAACTGGAACGAAAATGATGCTAGACAACTAATTTTTTCTATAAAACGATTTGGAGCTAATGTGCTACAATGTAAGCACCCTTCACGTGCTTGTATCCTATCAAACTCCTACGACCGATAATTTCCCCTACAAAAAACCACATAAGGACTTCCAGAGCGACGACTCCATCAAGAGCGGCTTCCTACAACATTGCTTACATAAATGGACATATCAAACCTTTACACTCTTCTGCCTCCATGCTCCAGATTTGAGGAAATTAACAATCGAACGTCCTTCTTCAAGAGCAGGGGTGAGTTCGTTCAGCTTGGGTGGTCGTAATTCAACCTTTGAATAGTTCCAAATTTTCACAAGGGCCGGCCGACCTTTTTCCATTCCAAACCGATAAGCAACTAACAATACTCGCAATAAAAAGAACTTACGAGTGGCATACTTGGGTGTTAAATCAACTAACCTCTGCAACAGCTTCGACATTTCTTAAATGTGCCGCTCTTAAAATATAGGAAAACAAAGCTTAAAATAATTGACAAAAAATAGAACTGATTTAATTATACCGTAGCCAAATTATAAAAAATAGCATAAAGCGTATATATATCCGTTTAATATTGTGATATGTTCCGTATTTTTGTTATAAAATAATGAATGATATCTTGTCGGAGAATTTAGCGATGAAATAGCAGGTATTTTATTAATTATTATCCGCATATAGAGCCTACAAAAAATTCCTTTAGGCATATTAAAAGCATCTACGTACGCATATAAGTTCCTCAAAGATATGCTACTCCCCACAATAATTTTCTAAACCGCATTTTATGTTCCAAAAATTATCTAACCCGAAAATTTTCATGTAATTTGACGCAATAAGTAACGTTCTGACAATTGCAAAAATTAAATAATTTACCAAATTTACTCAGCACATCCTCAAGCTGAACGACGCCAAAGGATAAAAAGATCTCAAAGATGCCCTTTTTTAAATAAATGCATTTTCGATGAACACGACGCGTATAATGAAAAGAAAGACATGACTATGCAAAAGAAAAGGCAAGTTTCGTGAACATGACTGTGTAAGACCGCTTAAATCATTATTGGTGTCTATTTATACATTTAAATTGTGTATCGTAAAGCTCTGCAGGACTTCAGCTGGAATAAGAAGGATTGTAACTGAATGCGCATATATTTAGAGGAATATTTAACATACCAAGCCTATGTCATCTGGCGATAATTGTAGGCTTGCTGCAGTCATCTATTGAAGATGTCAGTTTGTAAAAGTAGCCGACACCATGTCCGTGAAATGATAATCAAAAGTACATTTCTTCAAGACTTCAGGCCATTCTTTGAGTATGGTTTTATTCTACGTTAAACGATAATTGTAGGTCTTTATTTGACTACATTAAACCAGCAGCATATTATTTTAACAATTGCGTAATTTACTCTAAACTACCACAACAACCACAGAATGCGATATTTCGATGTTTTTAAGTATTTCGAAACCTCAGGACTTAGGTGCGCATTAGTTGCGTTGGCATCCGGTTGAACTACAATCACTGTCTTTGTTTGAATGTGTGTTTAATGATGTCCCTGTTTAATATTTTGGTTCCGTTAGTGATGTAGAATACCCGAGCCCTAGTATGAAGGATAGTTGTACAACAGACCAGACTTTATTGATCAACCAGACGCCGGAACCACATGTCTGGAGCAATCATCTTAGTCCACAACGCCGGCCTTTTTAGTGTGGTGACGGATTAGGGCGCAGACATATTGGATCACCTTGTTTTAGCCAATCCTGTGTCTCTTTGCGTTCTAATGGCATTCGATGAATATAAGCAGCCAACCAGAGAAGGACGCGAAAGAGGTGCAGTATGTTATGAGCGGCGTGGTCAGCGTGGAAGACTCGGATGGAAGGCACTTGACTTGTGGCTCTGGCCTGTGATTGGTCAATAAAGCCTGTTCTGTTAAACCAGTCTTATTCATACTTGGGCTCGGGTATTCTGCACTGGAGACCGTTTTTTTGAGGCGCAGACATATTAGACCACGCGTGCGTAAGCGTGGTGGACTTGGATGGACGGCGCCTGTCGTGTGGTTCTGACTTACGATAGGTCAATAAAGTCTGTTCTGTTGTACCAGTCCTCTTCATGGTTGGGCTCTGGTATTCTACAGCTGAGCCGCTCACTATGTACTGCTCCTCATTGGTGGCTTTCTCTGGTTGGCTACTTATCTTCCTTGCATGCTGTTGGAACGAGAGAGACAGATGATTGGCTGAGGCATGCGTGGTCCAAAATGTCTGCGCATTCAGACGTCGCTGCAGTGTCTGACCAGGATTTGCCAGAATTTCCAGATATTGGTTCTGGTGATGTAATTGTTAATTCCCCTTTTTCTGAAGTTGAAAATAACAACGAATTTATCAGCCAACAATCACCACCACTCAGTGATTATTCTTCCGCTGACCAGTCGCACGATTCGTTTATTCCCCTTTCTTGCACCCCTGAGATTTTAACTAACCCAAATTTGGATGAACAGGTTACGACATCAACACCGCCAGAAAACGCGCCAATTAAGAGAGTTACATCAGCTACAATCCAGTCTTCTGCTGTAGATCTTGGGCTTGATCCAGATTTTGTTCATGTATTTGTTTTCAGTGACGCTGGAAAGCCCATATACAGTAGGTAAGTTTTTATTGTGTTCCTGCAAGAGATTCTTCGGTGTAGATTTTCAACCAAGATTTATACTTGGTTCATTAATATATGACGCACTCGTCTATTTCTCAGATTTACTTAGTGTGAAGCACAGATCAACCTAGTAAACAAGTCGACCTTTTGCGCGGCAATACTGGTGTATTTCAAGAGATATTTTCACTAAATTTAACGTTTATTTGGTGGCATATTTTGGGTGTGTTTGCATGCCAGCCATTACGGACTGTTACTGTTTATCTCCATTGTTCGTGAAAATCAACTAGCAATATATGCAGTGTCATCCTGGCTCACCCACATGCAGCTATTCGTATAAGTGGTTTAGATTTTATGTTCTCGGAGTATTGACCGTCTGTTAATCGTTTTCTCTATCACCCTTGTCTTCCATCATTTTATTTGGATTTTACGCCGGTGATTTGTCCTTGTCTGTTTGACACTGGAATGGAGAATAGTAACACTGTTTAACACTTCAGGAACCGAGTCTGCCCTGTTTAGGGCTGCAGTGATCGTTACTTTTCCGATATGACTTTTCGGTTTGCGTTGTACCCATAGGGATCTCGGTAAAGCACCTCTAGCCAGAATCCACTATTTTTCGTCAATCTGGTTGTCGTTAACTTTTATCCCTGACCATAAATTATCGGAAAAAATTGTGTTAACGTGGTCTCAACTAATGTACGTAACATGGTATTCAAACGTTGCTATGTTATCGAATCATTTTTTATTAAAATTCAGTAAAATCTAAATTGTTTTAGGAAAATTCTGTTTGTTTACACCAACTTCGTAGCATTCGGCTGCTTTTACCAAAATGGGCTGCCTCATTATTTCCATATAATGATTCCTACCAGTTTTAATTTTTATTACTTGATTAATGTCAAGGCAACATTAGAATTAATTTGACTTAAAAATGCAGTTCTAATAGTCTTTAACAGGCAGAATCGAGTTTATTGAACTGTGCGCAGTCGTCAGCTTAATCGTTCCTTAACTCACCTTCCACACATAATAAATTTGGGGGTAATCTCAAATTCCCTCACTGTCGTGTTTTATTATTCTATACATGACAGGTTTTATTTCCTGATAAATTTCAGTGTCACGATCATTAATTCGTGCGTGTCTTCTTCCAGTTTGGTTTTTTCTTTGATCACATTTAGATGTGGAGATGAGAATAAGCTTGCTCACGTCATGGGTGTCATGCAGGCGCTTGTGTCCGTTGTCAATCAGCGGGGCGATCAGCTACAGGCGGTCGTTGCGGAAGACAAGCACATGGTCTTCCGTACCTTTGGACACTTGGTTCTCGTTGCTGTTGGATCTTCGCATGAGCCTATTTCACATCTTACTGTGATTCTCGGCTATGTACATAATCAAGTAGGCTTAATTTTCTGTTTTTTCATATGCTTACAAAGCAGCAAGTTGACAATCCATTATTATGAGCAGAATTATTCTATTGTGCTTTAGTAGATTTCCTTTTGCAGATTGTGAGTGCTCTTACGCAGCAGAGGATAGACAAGTGGTTCATGCAAAAGCACAACCTTGATTTGCGAAACCTGCTAATCGGTGATAGTCGCCTCCTCTCTGGCGCCATTGAACTCGTTGAGACTCAGATGGGACCTACGCTGAACGCTGTTCTTTGCATCCCTCTGCCAAACGTTACTCGCGAAACCGTGGTCCAAGCCATTACACACGGTGTCAAATCTCAGGTATAGTTATTTATTTGATACGTTCGCTTACGACTTAAATTTATTATCTTCAGCTCATCTTGACGAAAAATCGAAATATTTTTGGTTTCGGTTCAATAAATTCACAACTTAAAGGCTCTTAAACAACATTTGGATTTTTTTCGTCGTCGACATTTAGGTTTTTAAGCAAAACGAGTATTCATGTCTAACTTCGATTGCTGCCAGCGAGGCGATTGCGGTAATGCCTTGATTTGTGCTTTTGTAAACTGAAATGCATGGCTGGAGACAAGTCTGCATTTTCCGTTCCGCAATTTCAAGGTTTAATTGTGTAATTCAAAACAAATTACATCGATTAAGAACTTGGTAATTTATTGTGTTTTAGGTTGCATTTTCCATGCGCCTACTCCAAAATCTAAAGTTTAGAAAAGTCCGTGTTCGTATTAATTAGCGGTCGTTGTTTCACATGCTTCGCTTGCAAAATGGAAATAATGTGCAGTTTAATTCAAATTCAAGAGGTTCGTATTTGCACGAAAAAGACATTTTCGGCATTTCGACTGATGTAAAAAAATTCGCACGCTGCGCAATTTTTCTAGAAAATGTCCTAATTTTCATTTCAATAAAGAAAGCTGTGCTGCAGCACTGCTGATCCATAATATTACAACATCACAGTTGTGGAACAACAAAATTACTAGCTCTCTGCTACTGTCCTCCCAATGTTGATAGTGCTAACTGGTTTGTGTGTACAATCCCCTTGCTGGGGCAGCTGAGCATTTAAATTAAATTTGCCTTTTGAAAACCTAACCTTAAATTGAGCCTTCAGGGGATTCCGTCTGACCGTTATTGTGCGTTTTAATGGAGGCAATTACCATAACTAGGATTTATTTTAGTTCATCACTAAAGGTTAATTTGATTGGACGTAATGGCACTCCGGAGCTGGGCGACATTTCGGCCTGTGTCGTACTTATGTGATGTCGGGGTTAATTTGATGTTCCCCAAATTTGGAATAAAAGAAATTGTTTTTATGATGTGCTAATCAGACATCGCCTCGTGTAAATTACAGTTGCTTGGCGACCTAACCTCACAAATTGTCTAATTTTCCAAAGATTGATCGGTTTTTAAACCAGACATTCAGGCTTTTGGTAATTGCACACATTCAATGAGGAATCTCCTCAGAGGCGTAGTCTTGCGGTCTCGTTTTCAATAACAAGGAAGAAAAATGTGTAAATTGGTTTTGCGCCCCGCACTCCATGTTCTAAGTCACCCTATTGTTGCCTTCATGTAATCAGAGGCTTCTTCGTCCCTGATCTGGGGTTGATTGTTTCGTCTTGATTGCTTGCTTATAGCAGTTGTTACGGACTGGCTGAGGTTAAACGCACACACTCAAACATGCATTTGTGCGCTTTTTAGCGTGTTTCAGATGACTTGCACAGTTGACATTAAGGGCTCGTTGATTAACAAAGAGGCAACCTACTTAAGTGAGGCATTAATAATTGCGCCTAGTAGACAATATTTTGCAAACAAAATTACGTTGCTTTGTCGAAGCTGGCGCTTGCTCAATTGGTGATGGCTGGTGTGAGTGGTGTCATTTCTTGCGCTGCTTTTCAAGTT